TCTAATTGAGTTTTAGTTACAAGGTATAGAGTAGCAAAGGCCTCCATGAAAAAAAAATTTTATCAGGGATGTATTCAATGTTTAAAAAAAATCACAGGTCTATATAAACCCTTACTTTAATCCCAAAGAAGTAAGGCTAAAACAAAGCGTTTTAGGAATGTAATGCCTTTTCTTTCCATGTGTCTAATTTGGTAAATCTCTTGCTACAATAATACCAGTTCTGAATTTTTTTCCCCTAGGAGAGAGCATTAATTAAATGATTTAGGAAACTGTTTTTATCGAGAAATGAAGACTCTGATCTTAGTTTTTGCTCAATTTAAAGTTCAATACATTTTTATTGAGCCCACACATATTCTAATGTGGATTGTTTTTTACTAATTGGTCTGCAGGAATCACAATGAGAGTTTTGGTCACCTTTTAGGCTTCTTTTATTCTCATTCGGAAAGTTCCTAAACTCCATGTCATCAAATAAAGAATGATTTCTGGAATCAAGAATATAAAGTCAAGAGAAATGTAAAGTTCTGGTTTGATCTCCTCCTGTGACTTGTGAAGGGTTGCCACGTTCATTCCTAGGTTTCTGTATCCCAGGACACCACCCCCAGCTGGCTTTATTTGAACAATGGAGCCATCCCCTTGGTTAATTCATTCATTCAAGAAAAGCATATGTCTTCACATTTCAGTATTTCTGAAACTGGGGAATATTTTGTTACGACATCATCTATGGAATAGCAGCCTCCAAATATGGCTGCCAGGTGGAGGCAGTGATATGGCTGCTGCTGTCTGTGTGCACAGGCTCAGGATTTCCTCACTTCACTTGAAGCTCTGTGCAATGTTAGTACTTCACGTCTCATGTTTGACTATATTTTAGTTAACTGCAATTCTTCAATGTTTCAGTCAAGAAATATTTCAGGACCGTTTGAAAGAGAAACACGAGTTCTTGTCTAAAAACCTACTGTGTTTAACTTTTGGTAGATTGCACCAACAAGCATAAAAAACTTTGAGGACAGGTATCAGTGGTTCAGAAGAAAATCTTAGCATCACAGCAGTACACTTTTTTTTAATGTAGAAATGTGTACCACTAACACTCTTGATGGCAAATCAAATGATATATATATTTAAAAAAAAAAAAGAAATCCCCAAGGGCATTGAAAACTCTGGGTTGATACAGAAAAGTTGGAGTCCATATGTGAGAATGTTTTAGAAATTCCTTTACTAGTTTAGACCTTATACCTTATATGACATATTTATTATGTAATTATTTATATTTTTATGCTTTCGTATCATATTTAAGAACTCTCTGCTTTATCTTTCTTGTTAATCACTTGGTTATGCATTAGAGAAAAGATTATTTCTCTTTGTATCTCTGACCAACACAGGTTTAGGAATAAATTAAGCCTACCTCTGACATCACAGAATTCTTAATTGTATGACATATAACATTTGCGTCTATTAACAATATTTTTATAATAACTATATTGCAATATTTAAGTATTTTAAATTTCTAATCATTAAAAATTGGTAACCAGATTTTTCCTAGGTTTCCAAATGGAAGCAATATTATCGAAGTTAGTGAGACACATATTTTCAGCACCAATTTTGTACTAGTAAGCATCGTGCTGAATATGAGTGCTTACGTTTTGAACAATATTTCATACCAAGGATCAGGGGCTCACTTGAATTTTGGTCATGCAGGCAGTTGAACTCATCTTGGTTTTTGCTTACAATATTTATGAGGTAATATGAAATGAAAATGTCAAGTCGGCAGTTAAATAAAGGAGTTTTGTCTTTCACCAGATAAAGTTTTCCATAATCATGAATCTTACCACTTCCTCTGAAGGTCTGATATTTTCTGTGATTTTTCTTGAAAATCTGCTTGCACAGCAAATTGGTTGTTTTTTTTTTTAATTTTAAAATGCAAAGTTATGATCCTTATGGTAAAAGAGCAATTGCTTCGAGCTGATTTGAGACTGTGAATACATCTCCCAGGCACCATGCTGTGCTGAGGACGGTAACCACAGAGAGTTTCCCGGTCCTTGCTTTTCTTCTACTCTACACTGGGTGAGTGCTCCTTAAGACTTAGGCATGCCGGGCGCGGTGGCTCAAGCCTGTAATCCCAGCGCTTTGGGAGGCCGAGGCGGGTGGATCACGAGGTCAAGAGATCGAGACCATCCTGGTCAACATGGTGAAACCCTGTCTCTACTAAAAATACAAAAAATTAGCTGGGCATGGCAGCGCGTGCCTGTAATCCCAGCTACTCAGGAGGCTGAGGCAGGAGAATTGCCTGAACCCAGGAGGCGGAGGTTGCGGTGAGCCGAGATCGAGCCATTGCACTCCAGCCTGGGTAACAAGAGTGAAACTCCGTCTCAAAAAAAAAAAAAAAAAAAAAAAAAAAAAGACTTAGATATATTATAATTACGAGGGTGACTTAAGGATACTCCTCCAGAATAAATGATGTAGATCCATTCCTACTGTTCACGTCTACATTTTAGGGTTACAGTAGACTTTAACAATGCATTTGAAAACGTCTGCCAGTGAAAAAAGTATTCTGACATATGCAATTGTATTTTCTAGTACATATAGTGGTATAAATAAATGGCTAAAATTTATATCAAATGATATGCTTTGGGCAATGAGCTAATGAAATAAAACCTAGAAAGTGTTGGCCTTGGCTGGGCATGGTGGCTCACGCCTGTAATCCCAGCACTCCGGGAGGCCAAGGCGGGTGGATCACGAGGACAGGAGATAGAGATCATCAGATCATCCTGGCCAACACGGTAAAACCCTGTCTCAAAAAAAGAAAAAAAAAGTGTTGGCCTTTGGCTTAGGTTTGCTAGGATGACTGGCCATGCCTCACCTGCCAATCTGCCCTCTAAATTGTCACCAGTCTCATCACCAGTACCCCCATCAATCCAGACCCAGGGAATGCAATGTTCTACTTTTATTTCTCTAGATCAAGTATGGACAAGACCTCCCACCATTGGCTCTTTTTAATAAGTGTGAGATTATCTGGAATTTACAAAGTAGATGCATAAAATTATGGACAATTTCTCAGTCACCTATGAGCAAACAATACCCAAAATTCAGAGAAGGAAAAAGACACAAATGAACTGTGTCCCAAGGACAAATCTTTAAACTTGGAGACAAACAACAAGAGGGAAAAACATAGATACCAAATTCCTCTATCAAGCAGAAAGATCTTAAAAAACCTATTGTGGGCAAGTATAAATGGAGTGAAAATTCTGAATAATTGTTCTTTATGAAAGAAAATAACTTGTTCTTTAAAATTTTGAGTGGAAGTCTACTGAAATGATGGAACAGACAAAATAGTTAAATTGTTTTCCATAGAAAGAGGAAGAAAGGCATATCCAGAAAGATCCAGGGGAGGGGATCCTGGAGGTAGTGCTGGTAAGTGATGCAAAAACAAAAACAAAAACAAAACATCAGCAAAACCCCAACAACAACATCCAATTCATTTTTATATATAAAATGGATATAGTTTGGCTGTGTCCCCACCCAAATCTCATTTCCCTTGTGTTGCAGGAGTGACCCAGTGGGAGATAATTGAATCACAGGGGCAGTTTCCCCCATACTCTTCTGATGGTAGTTAATACGGTTCACAGGATCTGATGGTTTGGCTTTCTCGTGGCTCTCATTCTCTTCCCTTGTCTGCCGCCATATGAGACGTGCCTTTCCCCTTCCCCCATGATTGAGACGCTTCCTAAGCCACATGGCACTGTAAATCCATTAAACTTCTTTCTTTTGTAAATTGCCCAGTCTTGGGTATGTCTGTATCAGCAGTGTGAAAATGGATGAATATATAACATTTAAAGCCAGTTTTAAAAAAATGCATCATAGATTTTAGGTCAGTGAATCTCTAAAAAATGTCAACTCCTTTTCATAGCCAAGATTTTAAAAATAGTCGTATCTTAAAAATATTCATTTTCTTATAAGAATTTGTATTTCCCAATGGCTATCAGAATGTGATTACATTATTACACTCTTGATACATCTAGGTAGGCAGAAATGGCTGAACAAGCTCATGACTACTAAGCAAACACAGAACCTAACACTTTTTAGAGAAATTAGTGTAGTAGAGACTTTGCTATTACCTTAGTGCAAAGGGCTCCAGACTGGTAAAATAATTCCAGCTCAGGTTTTTTTTTTTCTCCTTAAAATTTTAAGAGACATACGACCTACCCTATATTGATGTTATTAGAATCTGACCTTGAGTAAATATTTAGTGATTTTATAAGAAGTTATAAACTTAAAAATATATCAAATGTAGTGAAACCTCACTATTACCTTTATAAGACCATGAATACATTTTAAGAATGTGATAAATCATGTCCCCTGGGTGAAGACGGAAGCATTAAACATCTCCTTATATAGAATCTCAAAACCTAAGTCTTATCTTGGATGTGTGACAATATCACAAAGGGGTCATTGCATAAAGACATGATTTGGTTGGTTGTAGTTTATGTCTAAATCCGTGTCTGTGAATGATTGTGAAGCAAGGGTTCATTTGAGATACTTATGGATTCCAAATATGTGCTGTATCCAAGAAAGCAGCATATTTGTCTACAAGCAATATTTAAATAGTTTTATTTAAAACTAAGAAATATTGTTTGCTTATTTAAACAACTCACAAAAACAAGGCAGGTTTGAGGACATGCTGCATTTAATTTTATGGAGATCCTACTCCACACAAGCACACCAAAAATATAGTACTGTAATAATCTTACAAAAGATACTACATTATTAAAATAGTTGCAAAACCAGTTTGAGTTTGATGCTAGTGTAAGAGACCGAGATTATTTTGAATGGGGTAATTAACCTGCCAAAAAATTAACAGAACTGCATTAGAGGGTCTGAAGAAATTATGTATTTGGTAAGTTTTACCCTGAATAAAAATAGTCCTCATGGAGGGCAATGATGGATAGAGCTTTCTTTTAGGATTCTGTTACACACTTCCCGCACTTGGTTGCTGCATTAAATCTTACCTTCCTGACTCAAACGTGAACCACGTTGAGTCCCGACCATATCTCCTCAGTGAGCTGAGAGGCCACATCACCAGTTTGACCTTGGCATTGTGGATATCCCAGAGATAGATATTTTCGTGAGTGATCTGCATTGTGCATTCACCATAAATATCCAGATTTGGCGTAGGCATAAGATACACATTGAATCGCTCTGTGAAGAAATGAAAAATGGAGAAAATTAAGTAAAAAGAGGTGCGACTGTCATGGCCATACTATATTACTTTGTATATTTACAGACTGCAGGAAACATTACCACGTCCCTTGGTGATATGGATAAACATTGCAGAACACTGCATCTTTCCATATTTGTATGAGAAATTGAATTCACTAATGTGTTCTGAATCATTAATTCATTCACTCACTCACCTAACAACTTTTCATTGCATGTACCGTCTATCATGAGGATTAAGTAGTTAGATTGTACAATGGAAAAATAAGGGCAAAGGTTAAGTGGGGTCTCTTCCCCGATTACGCTTACGGTCTGCTCCTTCACACTATCTAAGTGGATATCACAGATACAATTCCAGCGAGGAATATCTTATTTATTCTACGTAGACAAGATCTTACTTGATTTTACCTTTGTTGGCGTGAAGTATTTAATGCACACTCTGACTCACTAAGCACCGCAAAAAATAATTTAGTTTGTATCTCAAAACAAATTGTAGTCATGGTCAAATTTGGCATCTGATAATTGCAGATATTCATTACAGTCTTCTGCAGGACTCCAAGCATTGCTTTGATAAGCAAAGTAAAAATACTTTACTTTCTTAATTTCTGGGTACAGAGACAATAAGAAAGTTCAATTCTGTATTTTCTTATTTGTTTTTGTTTTCCTTTTTATTTATTTATTTTTTTTTGAGATGGAGTTTTGCTCTTCTTGCCCAGACTGGAGTACAATGGCAAGATATTGGCTCATTGCAACCTCTGCCTCCTGGGTTCGAGTAAATCTCCTGCCTCAGCCTCCTGAGTAGCTGGAATTACAGGTGCCTGCCATCATGCCCAGCTAATTTTTGAAGTTTTAGTAGAGACGGGGTTTCACCATGTTGGCCAGGCTGGCCTTGAACTCCTGGCCTTAGGTGATCCCCCTGCCTTGGCCTCCCAAAGTGCTGGGATTATAGATGTGAGCCACTGTGCCTGGCCCAATTCTATCTTCTTTAACACTTCTTTCATACCAATGAAAACATGAAATTTTCATAAGAATATAAAACTACTAAATGTTATTTAGGCAAAAGACCAGAGACACTGGTCTAATATTAAGTGTTAATCTTGAGTCCTCAAGAATCTGGTATTAGAAAAGCTGACCTAATGCTTGGAATTTATTATTGACTATTCATGTCAATTTGGAATCTAGGTTCATTCCACTGTTTAAACAATCTGCTTTGTTCTTTTTCTTAATAGTTGCATGAAATGCTAAAGAAACTAAATAGAGCCAGATATTATACAGAGGATGAGAACTTTCAAGATCATTCTGTTCTTTATATTCTTATCTACAAAATTTCTATAATAGATGATTATTGCAGTGGTCACTCTTCAATTTTAGCAGCTTTAGAAGCTGAGCCACACTGAGAAAGCAGATGTTTGCCCATCTAGACCCACCCTGAGATCTGTATAATGCAATGAAACCATCAATAAACAAAGCATGATTTATGCTGGTCAAAATTTGTAGAACTCTTCAGAAATTGTGACCCCCATCTCCACTACAGAACTAAAATTCGTCAACATTTATTTTATTATAATGTGGAAATAGCAACAGATTTAGTTGCCAGGTGTCATCTGCTTAATGCCCAAGACCACTGTGAATTGAAATACTTGCATTTTTTGAACAATCATCAGTCCTTGAAAAAAAAAATCCAGTGTCTTTTTAAAATTCCCCAGAAATTTCTTTTTTTGCTTTATAAGAATTGACTATTGCATGGATTTTATCTGCATTTCCAAGTAAACTATGTCATTGCAGCAAATACATAAAGTTATTTTTAAAAATTAAAAAATTAACTGTTGTACCTTACCAACATTTCTGTTATACTGTACCGTAATATACAAACATATTCACACACAATTATTACATTGAAAGTATTTAACCTTGTATATTGCACTTATAAGGATTTTCAGAAACTATTAAATATTTTAAGGGTCTGAAATTTTTAAGGAATGCATAATATTAATTTTATGCTATAATTTATTTAAATTGTTTAATGAGTATTAAAAGCCAATTTTCATCTAATATAAATTAAGCTGCAATAAAATAACCAATTTTTAGCTCAATTTGCTGAATAATTCAGTCCTTTTATATTGGTTCATAGAGTTTACTGTACTATATTCTTTTATATAAATTTTAGATAATTTTAAATATCTCTGATTATTAACTTACATTGAGTAATAAAATCTCAATCATTGGAGCAAATACTATAAAATCCTGTAAGTATCACACACAGCCAAATTACTTTACAGAAATTCCTTACCAATAAATATTAAAAATACATATAGAGTGAGTCACTGTGTCTATTGCCAGATTTATCAAAAATTACATCTATGGTTTATTTTCCTGACTGAGAATTCTGTGTTTTGGAAACTTTTCTAAGAACTTCTGAAGATGTGAATGTCTTAATCTGTGCTCAAAGAAAAATGTAGAACTTTATAAAATACGTTAAAGCGAAAGGCTACAAATCAGTTATTGAAATATCTATCTTAAGAAATTTGAAAAATAACCAGCAATTAAGCCCAAAACTATAGAGCAGCTGAATGATTAGTAATAGGAATGAGAGCAAAAATCAATAAAACAAAAAAACATGCAAAATTTGCAAGAGCTGTTATAACAAAGTATCACTGACTGGGTAGCTTAAAGAACAGATGATTTTCTCACCATTCTGGAGGCTGGAAGTCCAAGATCAAGGTGCCAGCAGAGTTGATTTTTTTTCTGAGGCCTCTCTCTTCAGCTTGTACTTGGTCATTTTCTCCCTATATCTTTATATGGTTTTCCCTCTGTGTCTGTGTTCAAATTTCCTCCTCTTATAAAGACACTAGTCATATTGGATTAGGGCTCACCTATATGCTCTCCTTATGCCTTAATTACCTCTTTAAAGATACTATCTACAAGTACTGTCACATTCTGAGGTACCAGCGGTTAGGACTTCAAAACGTACGTTTTAAGTGAAACAAAATTCAGCCCACAAAATACAGAAAAGAGGTTTAACACATAGACAAGTATAGGGAGGCCAACTAAGAAAAGAACCCACACACGGCCAAAAGGAAGGAATGCAAAGGATGCCACCATACTATAAAGAGGTATCAAAATGATAATGCAAAGATACTATGATGAAATTTTTGCCAGTACTTTTAAAACTTTTCAAGCAATAGGCAAATTCCTAAAACCAATGGTAGATTTTTTTTAAAGCTAATTATAATTGACAGTGCATTACCCTTATTTACAAGCTTCAGTGTATATATGAGCATCACTGGAATTGCTAAAATAGAGATGTCTGGCCTCCGCCTCCAGATATTCACTTTGTAGGTGTCGGTGAGCCCAGAATTCCCTTGTTTAACACGCACCCGGTGTGAATGTGACGGAGATGTTCACATACATCCAGAGAAAACTGACTTTCCTGCCAGGCATTGTGCTGCCTGCTTTCCAAGTCATATCTTACTTAGTCCTCAAAACAGTTCTCTGAGAGAAGGACCATCATTATCCTCAATGCAAAGTAGGAAGCAGAGATTAAGAGAATTTCACTAATCAGACCACGGCCTCATAGCATGTAAAAAGTAGAATAGAACTTGAGGCTAGAGTAACTTTGTCAACTTTTTTTTTTTTTTTTTGACAGGTTATGTATTTGACTTTCCAGCTTCATACAATATTTTGTTTTAGTACTGCAGAAAAAAAATGGATCATGAAAACTTATGCATACCAAAAAATGAAATCCCAATATATTGACTTTATAATGAGTACATTTTGTTTTTGTGTTAAATTGTATTCATTTTCTGTCAAATGAGGACTGATTTAACCCACTTTTGTTGTTGTTCAGAGTTCAATTCCTGAGCACCCTTGCCTTTTCCTGTAGGCTGAATTGAAAGCTGGTAGAACTGATGTAGTCATAGGAGTTGGCAGAGGAAAAGGGGCCGTCTTATCTTGTTTGCATGTGCCTGTATCCCAATAAAGTTTTCTCTCTGCTTCCCTGTGCCATGTCAGTTTCTGCTTCCAGATAATACCTGGGGTCCAGTCTGCACCTAAGGAAAAGCTGAGCACCCTCTCCATGCCACACTCAATCTTAAGACAAGTGAGGCTCTACTTTCTTCTCTCTCTGGCTTCCAATAACATTGACTGCTACTTGTCCTATGCCTTTCATTAAACCCAGTAGGGAAAATCACGTTCTAGTCTTCTTTTGAAGAAACCTCCAATTTATACAAGGTAATATAAGCACGTGTCACAACCCACTTGACCTCCCATGGAAAGAGGAAAGGCAAGGAAGGGATCTATTTCTTATTTTCCATAAAACTCTTCTTTCCCAAGCCACTCTTTTCATCTTCTTGTACATACCTTGGAGCAGTAATTCTGAGTTCAGTATTCTCCCCCAAAAGCTTTCCCCTTATGTAGCTATGAATGCTTTCAAAATCTGCATCTTTATTCTTACTGATGGAAGGGATGTCCCCAAGGCAAAAAAGCCAGGATAGGTCCTTTGGTGCTTCAAGATATTTCTTCATGCATATATCTCGTTTATATCAGCACAGTTAGATATAGACAAATGGATCATTTAGATTTGACATTGTCAGAAGAGAAGCACTACAAAACATCTTTTGCTTCCCTGAAGTATCTATGGCAAAGAGTAGGGAGAAATTATACATAGCATTGACCTTTTTCCAGGCTAGTGTGTACCGAAGACCAAGTGAGAAAAGTGCTGGTTATAGTTTGTATTTTTCAAAATTATATGTGGTGTCTATATAAATCAAGTAATAAAAGTAAAACAGTGCAACACAATGGTAGGCAAAATTGCTATGTACATGTGACTTTGTATTGCATCCATTAGTGTCATCTTATTTCTTTTGGGGGGGCTGCTCCCATGATCATTGCCTTTCAGAATCACAGATATTAATCTCTGTTGGTTGTATCAACATTTGCAAATATGTGTTTCATAGAAGTCCCACAGTAGATGAATGCATACT